ACTTTTGTGTGCAAAATTATCAATCATTAATTTGTCAGTCATGACTTTTATTTCCTCTGGTAATTATCCCAGTGTCTCCGTATAGTTGCACTAAACGTACTTTGGACCGTTTCGTAATATCTCTATTTGAGATGATGTCAATGATATTGCTGTAGTCGTCGCCTGCTGCAATGGATTCAAGATTCTTGTCTTCAATTTTTTCTCTTGTTATGTTAAGAGTTTCTTACAGTAGTCTAGCTTCTGATCATTAATATTTTTGATTATCAAGTTTCTGAGATCAATCATGCATTTTATACTTGTAGGATAGTCATAACCCATTCTTTTTGAATTACCACTGCTGCTAAATTCTGGAGGAATGGAAGAAGTCTTTCCTCGGATTCATTTTCTATCATCTATCTGATGCCGTCTGGCTAAGCAATTATTATCACTTACTCCTTCTCTTTAAATAACGCGATGAGACATACCTCATCATTCGAAGGAACTTTCCTTTATGTCTTTCCGAAGGAGTTCTGCAAACCTTTTTCGTGAAGAAGCTGATTATTCTTCATCTATGTCGTTTCTTATGAGATATCGGGTAAAAAGTACAAATCTAATTACAATCTCCTCATTTTTTGCGCCTGCATTGTTTCTCTCTTCTAGTTCGGCGCCTGCGCTCTTATCACTAACCTGGCCGCCTAGCCATTCATTGTTATTCATCTCAGACGAACGGAGCCGGTGTGACAATCGGAACCGGCAAGACAACAACGGCAGCCAAGGCAGGTTGCACCTTAAAATCATGAATATTAACAGTTGACTCCGTGACCGGAATATACGGACATTTTTTAGGCAAAAAGTACTTAGGCAAGTAAAAGAGCAAACAACAGATGCATATCAATAGAATGAAAACAAGTGTACATTCTATCATGCGCAGAACGATCAATCACCAGAACATCGAAAGACATTCTGTTCAATTACATCATCTTTCTACTGTTGCCCTTTAATACTGAGAATGTTACTGATTACTGATAAAAGTTGAGAAACTCCTTTTTAATCTCAGATAAAAAGTGGATATAACGGGAGAATAACCTCTCGCATATTTTTGCAGCATTTTGTAGAAGACATCGAGTGATATACATTCAGATACTTTTTATTAAAGAAAAATTTGAACTATTTCAAGTTTTTGGCCCCTACGTTTTACGCGATCGTTGTTTTCTGCTGCGTTTCAACAAATGCTAGGAAAATGAAGGAGAGCGTCGAATGATTAATATATAACATATTTGAATAGAGAATATCAAGATTCGAATACACTCTAAAAGTATTTTCGCCAATGATCAGATGGATTTTTATAAATTTAATTCCCTACAAAAGAACATTTTTGACGCTAAAAGGAATTTTTAGAACTCTAGCTACCGATTCGAGCTACCTGAAAAGATTAATGTATAAAAATTTCGGTTGATAGTGTTGTTGAGAATAACGAACTGCACACCTTTTCATCATTGTTCGTTCAATAGAAAATGTCTTTGATGCACACTTCAACTTCCATTTGCATAATGAAAGAATCATTTATCATGATCTAGTTCTTGCCTGAGGTGAGTATGTGAGTCATAGCTACATTTGAATAGAGTTTTCTCTTTTAGCGTATCTTTATGTTTTTCGTGATGTCGCATGTAGATATGTGTATGTCAGAGATGAGGATACATATAGAAAAGAAAAGGTGATCTGTATGCGACATCAAGAAAAAGATCAGGATACGCTAAAAGAGAAAACTCTAATGAATTGTATATTTCGAGTATATTTTCAAGTTTAAAAGATAAAACTGGGTTGTTTCCCGCTAGCCGTCAAAAATAGCCGTCAATTGACGGCTAGCAGGAATTTTGAAAAAGGCTAGCCGTCAGATCCAAAACTATGTAAAAATGACAAAATGGCTGCCGAAATAAAGAGATTTTTGAAATAAAAGAGCAATCAGGCTGTTTTAAGCCATAAAACTGTGGGAATTAAAAGGATTAGATTGATTTTGACCTAAAAACGAGACTATAACAGATATATTTATCAACCTTGTGATTGGTTCTTTCATATTATATCTAATATTCTATGGATCATAACCATTTATTTTTTTTTTGGACCGCAAGAAAGGAAGAGAAATTTTTTTTCTTTATAGAACAGAAACAGTATATCCCCTTCTACTGACCACGCAATATCTGAACAGATATAGAGTCAGTATTCTTATTAGCAGCAGGAAAATTTTTCGTTTTCGTAAATCTCGATTTTCTCAGCTATTTTTCACAAAAAGCTCTATAACCTTTTAACGAAGTTCGAATGAAAAAAAATTGGGAATCTTCCTATATATGTTGTCTCTACCTACAGTCAAATCCTGAGCCCAAAACTCAAACATCGATTGAGCAACTTTCGTCGTTTCACTCGTGCAGTGGCTCTTAAATAATGTTGACAAAAACATCGTGCTTCTAAACGCTCTGTTTTCCGTCTAGTAGGAGAATCAGTACGAACGTCGATTTGATATCCTACACAGACATGCAACACGACTTATCAGATCGATTGTTGAACACTTGTGGAAACCAAAACCATTTCAGGTAAACACTGGATGATAAGTCGATCTTGTGTTTCTCAACCAAGTTCATCGATCTAGATAGATTTATCATCAGCAGATTGCAATATGCTGAGAATAGAGCAGAGAAAGATGAAAACCATGGTCATGAGCACAGTAAAATGCTGTAATAGCTGATTAAACAGCCTTATTACACTAAGAGGAGAGAACTCTGCCAAATACTCGAAAAAGCCATAAATCGATGTAACATTGTTAGTTCAAGAACAGATATCTATCTAACAAGAGTACTAAGAGTACTGATTCTTCTTTCTTTGTGCCTCAAAGTCTGCATATACTAAGGTTTTCGTTTTCCAGGCGCCCAACGGCCAGCCATTTCCACGTGTGGAAATCCTAGATTTCATGCGTTATCATGCCTGAATAGGCCACTCCATGCATTGAAATGCATGGATCCACATGGGAACCCATGCCCAGACATGCATGGATATGCTTATCGAATTCTACGGCATGGTCGCCGATGCATATTTACGCTGGGTATTTAACTTCCAGGCGTTAACATGCAAGGAAAATGGATGTCAGGCGTTAGCATTCATGGGAGTCCACTTATTTGAGCATATCCTTGCGTATCTTGGCATGGATTTCCACTGTAAAAAATAAAGTGTGCCCGCTAGTGTGCAGTTCGAGTCCAAAGTGATGTGCAAATTGTGACTGATTTATCTTGTGTTTCTCTATGGGAAAAAAACGGAAGAATTATTCTTCTCTTCGGTCTTTTTTCTCGTTCTGTCTGTGGAAGCTACATGTGCAATTTCAGTGTGTTACAGGCACACTGAACAAGCCGTTTTCAGTGTGTAAAAACAACCCAACGCGATGGACACATTCAGGGTGCCCCGGACACACTTTACTTTTGACAGTGTGCACACATAAAAAGACGAAAAATAAATTTTTGTAATTACGTTAATTACACTCGAGGAAACTGATTTAAGTCCAGGCCTGAAAACTCATGGAGGTCCATGGTAAATGTGCACGGTAAAGTACAAAATAAATTAATGGGACAAACTAACTGAGATCCAGGCGTGGACATTAAATATAATCAGACTGGCTCATGAAAAACAGCCATGTTTCAGCAAAAATAAACTGCTGGACCTCTACGCCTAGCCAGGATCTGGGAATGCAAAAATTTTCCAGATGAGAAAGAGCTGAACTCTAGATAATGCACATTTATTTAGACGTGACACAGTTTCAATCGCTTGCGAATGAATTGATTCTTGAAGTCTTCGAGTATTTCGACGCTTATGATATTTTACACTCATTTCTTGGACTAAGTGACCGTTTCAACAGGCTACTAGGCAGTCTTCAGTTTGACTTGAAATTTCCTCACATCGACCACTACAGGTGTAACTTTATCTGCGAACATTTTCCGTCAACGGCACAAATTCGTTCTCCGTGGCTCGGAGGAGAGCCCTGCGGGTACATCGACCTGTTCTGCGACCGTTTTCCAGTGAACACATGGACTAATCTTCACTCCTTATCATTGGACAAAATTCACCAAGAACATCTGATCAAACACATGCTGTCGCATTTTCCCTGCATGACACAGCTATCATCCTTGACATTGCATATGGAATATAGCATCTCTGATACCACCATAACATACGCGAACACATTGGAACGAGCCTCTATCATACTCGCAAACGAGTTGAAAGTAAATCATACTGTCACACAACTTAATCTTGAAAATAACCAAATATCTGATATAGGAGGCGAAGCACTGGCTGAAGCATTGAAAGTGAACAAAACTCTCATGCACCTTAATCTTCAAAACAACCAAATATCTGATATAAATTTACTTATAATTACTACTGTAAATTAACATATACAGTTCAACTTTTAGATTATTACTCGTTTTCAAATGAATTTTTGGGATGAAATGGCATTAATACCTATTTGTATTGCTATTATTGTTATGTTCTCAGCTATATTTGGGAATTTACGTGAATTCAAAACTATTTCTGATTATGAAAAAATGTTCATCGGGCAAAAAAGACCCATCTTCACATGATATATTTGAAATTTGAGGTATGTCTAGACTCAGCGATTCCAGTTAGAGTAGAAGAGCCCTGGATTTTTAATTTTTTGTCAGAATTTTTATCATCAATTTCCGCCACAAGAAAATGTTTTGTCCAACTCTTTCTTCTGTCCTAGTATAGATTTGCCTGAATGTTAAATTCTTGTTGCACTACTGACGCTAACAGTCAAAAGTCATTCGATTAACAAATATAAAAAGTTTGGGTTTATAATATTATCTATCAGAATAGTTTCTTTCACATAAAAAATGTAAAAAATAGATTATTAATTCATAAACAAATAAATCTAGTCGTGTGTTTCATCACAGAAAATAATATTCACAAAATTACTGTTAAAATAAATACAATTTTACAACCGGTTACATAATGGAGATTTATCAATGATTTGGTTTTTTTCGTTTTTCGTAATTGATAGTCAGTGTTTTTGATGGTTGAGCTAGTTGCGATAGTAGTGGTGGTGGGGATGGCGTAGTTGTCGTTTTTCGTTTCATATGACGCGTTATCATTCTTTCATCAGATTCAAACAAAACCTATGAGAAAAAAATAAAAACAATTTCAGTCTTCAAACAGGCAACAAATTCATATTCTACCAACAAACGCCTCAACAAAAATATACTTGGGTTTAGAACGGCATATCTCTAGGCAGAGGTGCAGAATCTACCCATGTGCGCGTATGGACGGACGTGGAAAAATTCTGGAAGCTCTGGAAATTTTTAAAAGATTTTCCAACGCAAAAAATATGCAATCTTTTTATATAGGAAGGTTTAAGAAATTTCTGAATAATAAGAAATAAATCGATAAAAACCTTTTCTAAACTTCAGATGTGGAAATTTTCCAAAACTTTTACTGTTCATAGAAAATTTTCAATCTCACAGGTAGATTCTGCACCTCTGTTTCTAGCGAATATTCGATAAAGTTATTTACATTAATAGTATTCGAGACATATTACAAAGGAGAATTTTGAAATCATTACACTAGACTAAGTGTTGTACAAAGAAGCTGATCAGAAAACTATATTATCATAAATAACACTAAAATTTGTTTTAAAGCAACAAGCAGAGAATTATTTTTTCATTTCTTAGTCTTTCTAATGGATTATGTCTTGTTACACATTATGTAACAAAAGTCTGAACATATTCAGTAACAATTTTTTCCTAGGAAATAGAATTTTGACCCCAGCCACGGTAGTAGTAAAAAAATAGCTATTAAAGGGTAATCATACTTTCTAAGATCAAATATTAGTGTCAAAGGTTTGATGCATAGCTTAAAAAAATATTTTTTTATTATAAATTCTTATTTTCACACATCGAATAAGACAAAAATGAAAAAGCATTCCAAAAAGTACAAGTATGAAAATCTATTTACAACAGCAACAATCTGGATTATACAAACAAAAAATATGAGCAATAATAAATAATAGTGTTGAGAACACTGAGAGAGAGAGAGAGAGAGAGAGAGGGTACAATAGATAATAAGCGAAACACATTCTTTTTAATTCATCGGCGAACGTTCGCTTAGAATCAAATCGCTTCTCACCTTTCGTGTTGGTCTAACAGGTGTTGTCCATCTAGAAAGAAAAATATATAAAATAACGTTGATTGTCAGAGAAAAACTTTTTTTATCTACATACGAGTTTTGTTCTTCAGTTGGCCTCAATTGTACAGCTTGATACCATTTAACAATAAATGGAAATTTTTGCATTAATTTTGTACCGTTTTTACCAACATCTATTGCACGTATAACATGAGCATCAAGTTTCGTTGGTTGAGAACTAAAATAGATCATACTCTTTAACATATATATATTCTATCTGTTAAACAAAAGACTTACCCAGCTAAAAAATAATGCCATTTGTCATCTCTATTCGTATCCATGGAAGTAACACTAAATTGTGATGAGAATGCAGGTGTTGCTGTTGAACTAATTCTTATATTCTGTGACAGTTCATCCATGGACACATTTGATGTTTGACATTTAAGTAAGGATGAATTATTATTATTTTTTATACTTAACGTTGAATATGACGAAGTATTATCGTAAAAATATGTCGATGAAATATCAATTAATGATCGACAATGTCTATTTATCAATCGTATTTTTCTATCTGACCCGAGAATATCATCTGGACATGAAAATGTTCGTTGTCGTTTTGTTGATTTTGTTCGATAATCAATAAGTGTCCGACGAGCTTTTGGACATATAGCTGTTAATATACTTAAACGTGATGTTGATAGACGTTTTTGTTTTCCATTTCTTTGTTGTTTTTGATAAATACTATCAATTAAAACACAACCCGATGAACTAACTAGAAATCCAAAAACCATTGTTAAACGATTCAACAGTGGTTTTGATAATAATTGATAACAATTATCTGATAGATATTTTAATTTATCAATGAGATTTAATCGAATTTGTTCTAGTTCATCATTGAAACCATATTCTAGATGCCTTTTATATTTTTTACTCAATACCATTCCACAATAATCACGATCATTCAATTCTAGTATATCAATTACTGAATATAATGTTTGACTTAATTCTGTAATACACGTTAATATTGAATCATTTTTTCCACCATTACCGATATAACGAGTAGATAATTTTTGACATTGTTCAATTGTTTTTATTATTTGTGTATACAGCATACGCTGTAATAAATAATAGTGTAATAATGTTAAACCTTCTTCAGTTGACAAATTTGTATACATATCTAAGAATGGCCAATATTCATTCCAACCAATGTCGTATTCTTCAATTGCACAAGATCTAAATGTAAAAATGATAAAAATTTTAATCTTGAAAAGTTAATGATCATGTCTTACCTAGCAATTCTTTCTAAGCCTTTCTCAGCATCACTACGTAAAATATTTACAGGACTCTTTGGTGATGACGTTATATTTTGTTTTCGACGAGATTGACCATGTGTTGATGAATATACAGAAGTATAAAAGTTTGTAGCCTAAAAGAGAACCAAATATTAAATAGAATAGTCAAAAATAGATCAATCTAAGTCACACTTACTGTTTCATAAATAGTTGGACCGGCATATGCTGTTAAAACTAAATCACTACCATCATCTGCTCCATTAACTGGAGATAATGATTGATTTAATAGCATTGTTGATTTAAACGTTGTTTCATCAATTGGTTTTAATAATTCTTTTCCTAATGATACTTTTCGACTACATATTGGCACATAAAACATTGCTAGAAAAAACCAAAAAACAATTGATGTACATCTCAAACAGAAGGTATACATAAACATTAATGCTTTTAGATTTTTTAACGTTTTTTTATAAAACATTATATATTTAAAAGAATTTAAGTAAAATCATTTTTATTTTTTGTGTGTAAAAATCATTTTACTTAAATTCTTTTCAATTCTTTTAAATACATACTCTGAAAGAGTTCAATGATCTTCTTTGCCTTTGATGGGTCTTTACACCTGCTACAAACAATCTAAAAATAGAAAAATTAAGTTTTAATAATCAGTATATATCAGAAGTAGACGGGTAGTGGATACCTTATCAGGTGTCTGTCCAGATATATTTACACTATTTTTTATACATTGAGGTTCTTCTAACAAAGCACGAACAGCTTCATAATGACCAAATTTCGAAGCTAAATGCAACGGTGTTTCATTTTGCTGCAAGAAGATAATAAAAGAAAAGTATTTTCATTGATCCATAGAAATTTTAACTTTTTACCATTTTATCTGGTGTATTCAGATACATATCGACTATGTATTTAAGACGTGTTTGTGTTTGCTCATCTGAATCATTTACATATAATCGTTTAATAAACTTAACATCTTTAATTATTTTCATCATCATCCGAATAATGCTGGCTTGACCAGCGAAGGCTGCGATATGTAAAACATTGTAACGTGTTGATATCTAAACATCAATCGGAAATGTAAAGTTGTGAACGGTTAAAAAATAAAATTACAAACTTTGACAATTGTTGGTGAATCACCGCTACTAATTAGATATCGTGGATTAGACCACGCTAAACGTTCTAATTCATCAACATTCCCTTTTTCACTAGCAATTTGTAATTTTGTTAATTCACTAACGGGAACATCACCATATGGTAGCTTTTCAGCATCATTATTCGTTTTGGACGGATTAGCCTAAACGACAAGAGCAATAATTATCTCACAAAAGTCAACATTATGACTCTAATATGAATTACTAGTAAACTCTGTCTGAACAAAAATCTTAAAAAATTTTATATTAATCACCAAACTATCAAAATACTTACAATTTGATTTATACTATCGGTTATTGTCGAATTATTTATATCTTCTTCATTTGTGCCAATAAAATTCTCTGCATCACATTGATTTAAAAATACTTTAACACGACTATTATGTTTACTGTACTTTTTACATAATGCAAATGCACTTTTCATGTCATCAAATATAAATTGAGTTTCTAAATAAAAATAGTCAAAGTAGTCTCTTTATAGTTTTATTATTTTTATTATCTATTTACCTGTTTTTTCAACGTTTGATGGAATCCATACGGCATAATAATGTGGTTTAATTGTCTCATGCGTTATTTCACATGCGTCATTATCATCGTTCGAATCATTTAAACAATCAAAAAATTCTTCATGCTCATCAACTTCATTATGCTCACTATCCGTTTCTTCGTTAATCAACCCTCTACGATTTTTTTTAGAAATTAAATTACCCATTTGAAAATAACATTAGATCATTATCTGCAACACAAAATAAATATAATCAAAACAAGTAAATCATATGAGATTTTGTGACTGCGTGTATACATACACTGATTTTTGAATCAAGTAGCACTCATATACTCCAGTATTTCTCTCAAAGTATCTACGTTATAAAACACAACCACAGCAGTCAATCAAAAACTTTAGAAAAGTTCTCGTCCAAATACAAAGTGTTCTTATATCATTGTTTGGATTAAGAATACGGTCTGTTTTCACTCATTGCATAAGAGTATATTTATACCTCTTCTAAGGTGCTCTTTTCTTTGACTGATGAATGTTTTTTCTATCAACAATTAATAGAAACAGCTACAGATATACGCAAACCACAAAAAGTTCTACTGTCTACTCACCTTGTAACTATAAACACTAGAAACACTTTTTAAGAGTTGGATACTCAGAAGATTTCTAACTCTTGCAAAAAAACTATTTCTAACACTATGTCAAAAAAACCCATAGAAAATTCAAGGCAGAAGAGGAGAGAGTCATAATAATATATTTCTAATCAAAATCGAACATCAGGCATGAGTCATTCATTTCTTTGTTTATTGTTTCCTTTGATGAGTCAAATCAAAGGAACATAACACATTTTAACTAGTTAGCTAGCGAACGAATGATAATGCCCTACGATAGTTGGCGCCATGTTAGCAATTTTATATAGTTTAACAGTGCATTATATTGAAAGTGGACAGTTTATTAATCACTCATAATTGCTGTTCTGTTCTTCACTTTTCATTTGAAAAAACAGTCCTATGAAATGCAAAGGATGCACCAGCACTGACTGCGAAAAAAATTAAAATTTTATAGTGATTCTTTGGTATTTTTCTCTCGAATCATGCTCCTTTAGTGTAGAAAAAGAATAAAATTTGATTAAATCATTGCCCTTTTCCTGCTTGTTTATCCACGTTATTCTCGTTCTATTCTATACTGTACTTGTTTCACTTTGCAAGAGACAGAACAAATCTTTTAGCTCGGTCAGATTTACACGTTTACCCCTTATTAATTGGTTAGGATATGAGTTTCGTTCTAGATTATCGTGAGAGTAAAGATTTTGTTCTATACCTTACCACTAATGAAAAAAAATCACTGGGTGTCTCTGAGCGTATTAAATTAAAGTTACTGTTGGCTACGAGATTTTTTGTTTTGATAGTTTTAAAACAGAAAGTGCTACTTTATTTTAGATACTATGGTTCAGTTTAACGAAGTGTTTTGGGGTGATAGAGGATTTGAAGTTTTGTCAACTAATTTAAAAAATGGAATTGTGGCTATCGAAGAGTTTCAACGTTTTTTAAATGAAAGGTTTGTCTGTGTGATAGTTGCTGTTCATAAAGAGGGAGAGCATATTAACCCTTTTTCTGTTTTTCAGTTCTCAGTGTGAATCAAACTATTGTAAAAGTTTGAGTCGTATATCGAGTCAGCTGGTTAAAGTTCAAAATGTTGGTAAGTTAGTATACATTTTTTATTTGCAAACAAATTAAATAACATTAATACATATTTTAGGTACTTTTTCTCCAGTATGGATGGCTATTCGAGATTTATTAGAAAAAATAACATCAGCTCACACAACAACTGTTTCATTGTATCAGGATTTAATTCATGATGTTCACTCGTATCATGATGCATATAATAGAAAATTAAAAGTTCAAATTCAGAAAGATATGGATATAATAAAAAGTTCCGATCTCATTCAACAATTGAATCAAATACAGAATAATTTAAATAAAGCTAAAGAACAATATCATACAGTAGCCTTGGATTATGAACGAACTAAACGTGATTTAAAACGAAATGGATTTAATCAGAATATCAGTGGTACAATGGGAAATAGCGGAAATATGAATGAGATGAACAGTGGTGGTCAACAACAAGGCACTCCTTTGTCAAATACATTTGGAACATTAACATCATCAAACAGACACTTTGAACGTTTAGAAAAAAAATATCGTCAGACAAATGAAGAGTATCGATCATTAATCGAAAAATATAATACAATACGAAATGAATTCGAAAAACGTTTTTATGATTCTAGTAATAAATTTCAAGATTATGAAACAGAGCATATGCAGACAATGTTGAAACATTGTCAACATTATTCAGAATTATTAAAACAAAATAATGAACATACAAAACTGGCACAAACAGAATTTAATGATAAATTAAATATGTTTACTATACAAGATTTGTTAGATACATTTGTTGAACAGAAAAAAACTGGTACAGAACGACCTAGTGAGTATCAAATTCTTGACCTTAAATAGTCAGATTTATCGTAAAGTTTGAGCATCTAACATAAAAGTCGATAGTAAATCTGACATATAAAACTTTTTTGACAACAGCGTTTCTACTGACAATTCTGAGTTAAGTACACACATGGTTTGCGTCTGACTTCGACAATGTAACAAAAAATGTAAGGATAATTGGCTGTGTTTCTTTGTGAATGGTAGAGTTTCTTGTCTAAAAAAATCTTAAATAGTCCATGCCACGTATGCAGTGACAGGAACGGCAAAGTTTAGATCAAATTACTTATAATTCTGAAAATAAATTGTTAAAACCGTATAAATTCAACGCTTACTCAAGTTGGCATTTAAAGTAGTCATTGTTAATGTAAGATTACTCCGATATAATTTTAAGTTAAATCTTTTTTGTGATACGGTTTCCTTTATTTCAGTATGAATTCGCGGCAGTAGGAAAAAGAAAACGATTACTAATGTCTTTGAATTATTATTAGCAAAAAATTTGTGCTTTTCGGGTACTAGTAATAAAAAGGCTGTATCTGCAAACCGTAAATGATTTGCGCATCTCTACTATAGTATATTTCACAGACCTTACAGTAGGGATGTTAGTTTAGCGTTATTGTTCATTTATCTAACGGATAAATATAAATTCCTCATTTATATTTAAAAAGTAAATACAAATAAATGAAAAAAAATAATTTTTATAAAATAAAGGTAAGATAAAGAAATAAAGATTTTATTTTATGGACTATATGCAGTAGATGTGGAATGTTCTAAGACCACAACATTTGTTATTATTCAGACGAAGTACTTTATTTAGAAGATGTTTCTGATTGAAAACATCTGAACTGTAGGCATAATTCCAAACACTAAAGAAATAAAGGTGAAATAAATGGCTGGTATTTTCTTTGTGCAACTATGGGTTTTTTTTCATCATCATGACTTAAAACCACTTATTCGGACAATTGAAGGAATAATCAGGTCATGATTTGAGGTGAGGGCATCAATGATGACATACTAATCTTTCCCTGCCTGTTAATTCACTTGAAAACAGCAAAATTAAATCTTTATTTCTTTAATTTACCTTTATTTTTTAAAAATAAATGATCCATTTATCTTTATTTTATAAAAATAATTTTTTTTTTTCATTTATTTATATTTATTTTCTAAAATTACACCAAATTAACAGCCCTACCTTACACTTACAGTAGATGAATATGTTTTTTTTCTCATTTTTTAGTGATGTTACAGTTTGAAGAAGTAGATAACTTAAAAATGTTACCCTCATTGTCAAACCCAACAAATACTCAAGGCCC